CGCACTGCGTATATTCTACAGACGGTGAGTTACACTCACTAGCCAATGTGGCCAATGAAAATGGCTTCCGAAAGCGTTAGGCAAATTGCCAGTTGCCTTGCAGAAGCTAAACGGAGGCAGAGCGTGCAGAAGCACTGCGTACCGTCATTGTCATCGCCCGCGCTTGAGCTTATGTGCAACTTTTACCTCACAATGTTTAGAAGAACACAACTTTGCTGCAGTTTTGTCTTTCAACGGAGCATTGTTGCCCTATTTGTTTCCCTGCACTCGTCTCTCTCACAGCTCGGGTAGTTTGTGAGTGACGGCCGGCTTGACCAATCAGAGCGCTGCTCTCTGACTGAAATATTTTGGAAGTAAATTCTGGATCGGAAACGTCAGCAGAACGGAGTCAGGGGTTTCTTGCGGTCACTTTCCGTGTTTGCGGAGAGTGCTGTGTGGTTGTCGCGTTTTGTATGTTTTTATGTAAGCAGCTCAACGTTTGTAGCCGTATAAACACCTATAAACCTATAAAAGCATGTCAAATTGAAAATGGTATGACAATGTAAAGCCAGCATGACGTCACTGCGCCTCACTGTAAAGGATAGTTAACACATAACAGGCATACACTTTTTCCCGTAATATAAGGATTTTGGGTTAAGAAATTATATATAATAGGGTTCAAAGTTTGAGATCACTAGTACATATTGTTTTTATATACATTTGTATTACAAAATATAGTATGAGTATAACAATGTGTAAAAAGTTTAACTCCTTAATTTCTGAATGTCTTACAATTTTGTTTGTCATTAAAAATGGACACCGCAAGTTTGTGTAAAACCTGATGGTCATGTTATCCAGCATGATTTAAGAATCATCTAACAAGAATCTTGTGCTTCAATGGTAAAAAGGAGTTCATATGGTTAATGTCAGAAATGGCAACCTGCAAAATGTTAAATATTTCTTCTGCATTCTTCATAATGTTTTTTTTTTCTTTTTCTCTACATTTTTCAAAATTTCAAAGGCTTAATTAACTTAATTTTATTTTTATTTAGTGTATATTTTAGGTGCTATGATTGATCCCTGTTTCTTCTCTGTTTTTCATTTTGGTAACTCTTTATTTTAAGGACCAGTTCTCGCTATTAACTAGCTTGCATATTACTACTAGCATATTGGCGGTTAATTAGAACTTATAAAGCACATATTAAAGCACATATTAATGCCATTTTGCATGACCATATTTTAGATCCATTAATCCTAGCACATACCTAAACTTAACAACTACCTTACTAACTATTAATAAGCAGAACATTTGTTTATTGAGTTTATTTACTATTTAATTTATTAGTTTTAAAATGTTTATTGAGGCAAAAGTCATAGTCAATAGTTAGTTAATAGTGAGAATTAGAACTTAAAATAAAAATATCTTAGAAACCTTCAAATAAAGTGTGAACTTCATTTTAAATTATGTTTTAGCTGTTTCGATGCTCTCTTTATTACATCTCTTAAATCTCCTGTTTTAACAGTATTTATATCCCCCTATTTTACTTTAGTTTTAATATGTTGAAGTGAAACGAGGCACACAGGAGTCTCTCATTCCTGCCCAGATGGCAGATGCCTGTGTTGTTCCAGAG